CCTCATTTTACCCACCTGATAGAAGGATGGAAGGCTGAGTCAACCTTGAGCCTGGTGAGATTCAACCTGTCAAATTACAGGCAGTCAGCAGTCAGCAGAAGTAGCCTGCAGTACTGCACTCGAAACACTGTGTGACCATGACTCTTATAATATAATTATTATTATAGTTGGCTGCCCATTTTGCCAAATGTTTAGACTAGGTTTGGCATTTTGTCCTTCTATCAAGTCCTTCCAAAGGATGAGGGATAGGCAGATATTGTTTGATGGTGTTAACAGATGCCAATGCAATGTATTAATTATACAAATTTACTTGTAAGGTACAATTCATAGACATTTTCTCAAAAGAGTGAAAGGATGTTGCAAGACAAAGTAGATATGTGTTTCAAATCTATGGTTCAGTTTGTGTATTATGCTAAACCAGGGGTCAGCAACCTTAAACACTCAAAGAGCCACAAAAGTCCTAACCGGAAGCCCCCTGTTCAATTCTGGAGCTGACCGGAGGTCTGCTTGCCCCACCACAGAGTCACCTCCTAGCATGGCGTCCTTTTTCCTCTACTTGTCCTAACTGAAAGCCCTATCAATTGTGGAGCCGACCGGCAACAGGGAGCCGCAGCAGAGGGATGGAAGAGCCATATACGGCTCCAGAGCCGCAGGTTGCTGACACCTGTGCTAAACTATAGCACGATTTGTTTCATTTTTGATTTAGTGTGATATGCGAACCTAGCTAGTATGCAGGTGTAATTTATAAATTATTATTCATGTTTTTATGGTTTACTGAAACAGAGTGAACTAGATCATTGTAGCATTTTCAATCACCTGTGCTTAAACATTTTGGTTAATATGTGCACGCAGTCTCACACACACATATGCCTCAGTAGTGGGATTCAATTTTTTTTACTACCGGTTCTGTGGGTGATGCAAAATCCCCATTCCCTCCTCATCATCTGGGACTCAGGAGGCAGAGAATAGATGGGGGTGGGGCCAATCAGAGGTGGTATTTACTGGTTCTCCAAACTACTCAAAATGTTCGCTACTGGTTCTCCAGAACTGGTNGTTCAAACTTGACAGCTTTAAGACCTGTGGACTTCAACTCCCAGAATTCCGCCTCTCGCTCTTCATCTTGATGATGTGCGGACGGGCTGTGGGAGGGAGCTGGAACAAATTCTAAACGGCCCTGTAGATTTGTGGAACCTCTTTTATAGAAGAGGTTAGAATGGCAGGAACCCACCTGTGATCTTAGGGCTGCATTTTTCAAATAAACATGGCTTAAAGGACAGTTCTATTTATATACACTTGGAAGGAAGTCATATTGGGTAAAGAGGAGACTATATCAAAAAGTCCAAGAAACATCCAAGAAGATGACAGTAACATACAGTACCACCTTTATATGGCTGCCTAGAATACAACATAGCTGTATCTGTGAAGACACCAGGGGTCAAATACAATTCAAGGAATATTTTATCTTTTTATTCTACTTTGTTCCAACCAGAAGTAGTTTGTGCACAATTCATTTAGACCTGCATTTTTTCTAAGTGATATATCAGTGATTATTATTAATTATAGTGGCCTTCCTACTTGCTACAGCCAGCCTAGTAACAGGTGTCCCAAGAAAGATTTCTGAGGCAAAAGGGACAATCTGATCCCAATCACAGCAAAATGACCAGTCTGCTCCAACAACTGGTGGCTTCATTAAAGCAACTAAGTTGAACGACTTTTACCTTAGTAATTCTTTACCTTATTCTCTATATTCTACCTTATTCTTTATATTCTTTATATTTTACCTCAAAATACTTCCCAAGAGCAAACTATGACTTCTGAAATGATCTATGATTTTTTAAATTTTGGAAGATACCTGGATTCACCCATGCTTGAGTTGAGAGCTATATAAATTTGCTAAATAAATAAAAAAATAATAATCTAAAAGTAACATTTCAACGAGTCCTGCAACAAGAATGGTAAACTTTTATATTTGCTTCAATATATCTTTATTATTATTTGAATTGCATTTTGCTAAGTTTTCAATTTTTTGGTCCTTTCATTCACAAAATATTAGTTATGACATTAATTTCTCTTAAATTAATATGAATAGTAAACTGACTACATATATAATTATTTTTATGTGTGACTTACTTTTGGTCCTGGAAGGCCTTCTCCTGTTGCACCTGGGAGACCAGATGGTCCTCTTGTACCTGGATCACCCTAAAATGTATATTTGTAAACATTTCAAATTATTATTGTTGGTTGCAGAGTTAGTCAGATTTTAGACTGGATTTGGCATTTTTATCTATCCATCAAGTCCTTTCCAAGGACCTGGAACAGGCAGAAAAGATATTGTCACAAGATATAGCAATAGCACTTAGACTTATATCCCGCTTTACAGCCCTCTCTAAGCAGCTTACAGAGTCAGCCTATTGCCCCCAACAATCCAGGTCCTCATTTTACCCACCTCGGAAGGATGGAAGGCTGAGTCAACCTTGAGCCTGGTGAGATTCAACCTGTCAAATGACAGGCAGTAGGCAGGCAGCAGAAGTAGCCTGTAATACTGCAATCGAACCACTGCGCCACT